CCAGTTTCGCCGCGCAGCGTCCGCACGCGTTCGCAAGCGAGACATAAGCAAGGAATCATGATGATAAGAAGCAGCAGCAGTAGTAGTAGCTCAGACCATGCCAAACAAAAGGGCAACAGTAGAGAGCAGAGTAGTGGCCACAGAAGATCTCCACTCCAACATTGGGGTTCTTGCCGACTCCGCCCATTGACTTGAGGTTCGCATCGGCTATTCGCCTGAGAGAGGCGGAAGGGCAGATCAGATTCTACTGCTACTACTACTCCTACTATTACTACTACTATTACCATTGCTATTGCTATTGCCATAACTATTACTATTGCTGTTACTATTCCTGTTACTATAGTACGTATTACTACTATTATTACTTTTATTCTTATCATGATGATTACTATTGCTATTTCTATTGTCTTCAATCTGCTCCAAGTTTTGCAGGCCGAGGTCTTTTCTTGACGGAAGACGTTCAGCAAGGAAGGCCGCACTGGTGTGGTTCGCCTTCGGCAGTTTCTAATACCACCTGCGGGCTCTAAACATCAGCTCACGCTTGCATAACATCGCACAAAGGCCCGAGTTTTCCTGATGCCTCGCGGAGGATGAACTGTTAGCACCTTTTTGCCGGAGGCTTCTTCTTTGTGCCCAAGCCTTGGTCACGGGCCTGAACGAGGAGCCGCAGCCTGCATGAAGTGGAGTTGACTTCACTCCACTGTTGATGCCCAGATTGTACGTCGATTCATTCATGCCCTGGCAGCCGACAAGCACGTGAGCGACGATGAACACTCTCATTTTAAAACATGCTCCCCAGTCAGAGACTGTCGCTCCCCGCCTCAGCTGAAAGGGACGAGGTGCAAGGTGCACTGAGAAACGGTGAATGGAAAGGGGGCAAGCCCCAAGACAAAAGCCCACCAAGAGAACTAACATCGATCTGCATTGTTTTCACCTTAGGTCCTGCATGAAGGGCTAGATCGATCAGGGACTCTGGGAATGGGCAGATCACAACTCACAACGACTGCCTCGGTGTTGTGCAATGTCTTATCTGGGTCCTCCAAGAGGCGTGCAACGGTCATGGTCCTATGCGTTGCAAGACACGAAGTGAGAGCCGTTGCAGAAGGCACAAGGCGCGTAAGGGGAGGCAAAGCGGGGAACGGAGTGAGCCCTTTTCTGGGAGGACTTGCCCAGGCTCCTCCAGAGGAGCGCCGCTCGAAGCGAGGAGATCGGAGAGGTGCTGCGCAGCCGGGAGCCCAGACCGGCCCAGACCTGCTGTTCAGCGAAAAAAAGCCGTCTACGTCGGTGGCATCTCCTCAGGCCTGTCGCGTGGCACCAAGGAGAGTGAGGCAGAGGCCCGTCGCCGTTGAGAAGGGTCCGTTCTGGGTTTGAGTCCGTGTGAGTCGTGTTTGCCAGATGCCGCTTCTCAGCCCAGCACAGCTGGCGGCCCCCCGGAAGCTGCTGCGAGCGGAGGCTTGAGCCTTGAGCTTTGTGTCCGCCTGACGCGAGCTGCGTTAGGCCAAGTCTGAAGTCGAGATCTCGCACCGCTGGCTTCAAGTTCTTACGTTTCGCTGTTTGACTAGACTAGCGTCTCATCAAGCCTGGTTTTCACTGACTGGAGAGTTGGCTGCCAGAGATCCTGAAATTGGGAAGCCCATGCCAGGTTGGAGGAGATGGAGTCGATCTTGTACTACAACCAGTAGCTCAGCAGCAATCTTAGATATCAGCCTGGCCTCTCTCGGGTCAGGCATCTTACCGCCACGATGGGATGAGACGTCATGTTGAGCACGATATGGTGGCAAGACGTCTACCAGGTTTGGCTTGCCCATGGTAAACCCCAACGCTGCACCACTGGAAATCGGCAATGCTGCCTCCTCAGAACACTCGCCGCTGATGCTGCGGTCTCAAGTTGTGTGTGTGTGTTCCTCTGAGGATACCCAGCGCTCTGGGCTGTGGTTGCTGCCGGTTTACGTCAACCATTCGTGCTTGCCGAATGCCCTGACCTTGTTTGCGCCAAAGCGCGACATGGTGAATCCTGGCGACCTGAGCCGTGAAGAGCCCAAGGTTCAGAGGTTGATTGTGCTGGACTGCCTCTTCCTACGTGCCGGCCCGGGTCTTGGAATCCAGCCTGTAGCCACAGCCTGACATCCCTTCGCTGTGGCTGCAGTTTCGATTAGTAAAGGACGGGACCTGAAAGCCGGAGAGGAGCTTTTCGACAGTGCCGGCCTCGGACCGGGCCCTCGAGCTGCCCTGGCCCTATGCATGCGATGCCCCGAGGCTATGCAGAGACTTTGCAGTCCGGGACTTTGGCGTTCGACGCATGGCCTCGACCTTGTCCTGGCTCATAATCTGAGGCCCTTTTACCGACGGCGTGAAGCATTGGATGCTCAGCTGCAAGATATTACCAATGATGCTGTGATGATAAGCCCTGCGCGGGCCCAGGGCAGAAGCTGATCGAGCTACTGGGTATCATCTCCAAAATGATTTTCAATCATCGCATAGGTGAGTGTACTTGGGTCCAGCGTGGTTGGAGAGCTGTGGCAGCTGTGACATGGCTGACACGGGCCGACTTCTTTAAGTGGCGTGAAGGTTTGTTGGCCTGGCCCTTTCACAGACCGTTCTCAAGTCTTAAAGCTTCCGCCAGAAGCCAATCACCTCAAAACCGTCTTCTGCAACACAGCGAAAGATGGGCGACAACACGCCTGATGCCTACACCGATCTAGCAGAATCTAGCAGGTTCCTCATGCTGCATGGCGATCGTAATGTCCAGTATAGAATCAGCACGGAGCATCATACCATAAATTGCATTGTAGGCGACCTATGGTTTCCATTGCTGCTGCGAGAGATGCAACTTCGAAGAGGCCGCGACACTGACGGCAGATGACGGCAGTCAAGCAGCGCGTGTTGCTGGTCAGGCAGTCTTCGGCCAGCAGCGAAAGGCTGCAGAAGACATTCTGGAGAAGGACTCGGACGTTCTGGCGAGTAAGGGAGAGTGCATCGAGCTGACGTGATCCCAGCTCGTCAACAATGAAGTCTGCAGCTTCAGCTGTCTTTAGGGTGAAGTTCAGCATGCCTACTGTGTCAATGCTGCAAACAATTCCTGTACGTCGTCTGGTGCCAGGCCGCAGAAGCCACACAAGGTGCCGGAGTGCCTCCAAGTGCTCCACATCTTTTGTGCCGCGACACCTCATTTGCCTAGCCAGAAGTTGCGATATGTTGCAGGAGCGGAGGGAGCCGAACTCGCCGAACGCCTTGAGGTTGGATCGGCTTCTTTGCTGCTGTATACGAACACCGTCAGGGCAGGGCCTGCTCTTTAGCCCCTCGCAAAGCCATTCCCAAAGTCATCAAGCCCCGAGTTGCCCAACCACACCCGAACTACCACAACTCTTGTCTGCTGAGGGTCTTGGGGGTTCAGTGAACTTTGCAGACCAGGCGATTGCAAACGGCGCCGAGGTGTTTGCAGCCCGTTGCTTGGTTTGTTGGTGGAGAGAGAACGTCTACGAAGCTGCACCGTTTCGGAATCGCATGGTGCAACGGTGCATGACAGGGCTCGGTTGTCACAGATATAAGGCCAAGGAGCTCGAAACTGCGCTGCAGGCATCAGGCCCGGGAGTTGTCTTGAAAACGGCCGCAAAACGCTTACTTCACTACTGGCAGCAGGTCGGTTGGCTACCGTGCAGATGTCGGTGTACGAGGTTTGTCTTTGCGTGCCCTGCGCCAAGTAACTCGTGGAACCTCATCTTCACGCTAAGTTGCCATCTACCCCTCTCTCGGCGCAGCGGATGGCTGCAGTCCCGGATTTATCTCAACACCCGCGGAGGGCAGCCAAGTAGCGCGGCCTGCCAGGCGCTACTTCGGGACGGCTTCGAGCAGTGTGTGGATGATGTGGAGAAGAGATGTTTCGAGCAGCAGGACAAGCTGCAGGCGCCACCGGCACAGCCCTGCAAGGCAGGGGACGCTGATGTCGAGAAACTGTGCAGGCCCTCCTTCTGGGAAGCCTTGCCAACGTGCCGGGCTGCCTGGACCCTTTGCCGGACCTCTGCCCCGAAGTGAGCAGAGAGTGCCTTTTACCGACCCTCTCCCAAAAAGAGGCTGCGTGGCTTCGCGCTGAGCCTCCGAGGCCAGACCAAAGGAGACTCGGGGGTTTTGGGTGTGCCCTCTAGCGGTCCAGTGCCCCCCTTCCAGGCCTGAGCCGCTACGTGGAGGCGAGAGAAGGGCATGCGTGCAGGGCCCCGCGGCTTCGCGTAGGAGCGCCACGCTGCCCGCACCAGGCAGCAGCTGCCTGGGGCAGAGTCTTGGATGCTCTGGAGCAGGCCAGAGGACGAGATGCGCAGATCCATGCCGGGTGCTTTGGTCCGGTGCTCGAGTTTGTTCAGGTCATTCCGGGCTCCGAGCTCGCTGCAATTGTCGCCAACGACATGCTGAGCCAGGCCCTTACGGACTGACAGAGTGCGCCGAGGACGCTAGAGACCGGACAGCTTCACCGGCTTGTGAAGCTCCCTCCATGAAGGCAACAAGCTTTTGGCATTCCACCTGGACTACCAGAAGGCCGCTCAGAAGGACCGCGGTGTGGTCTCATTGCAAAGGCTCTTGAAACATGCGACCGTCCTTCGCGTGCGGCTCCCCTCCTACAGGAGCTTCGCCGGGCGCTTCTGCGAAGCCACCAGGTGCCGGGCTGTGCCGAAGGCTGCGAAACACAGAAAGTGGCATGGCAGAGATGGCAGAGTGCCTCTGTTAGACATTTTAGGCCTATGGCGGAGGGGTGGAGACCTGGAGATTCTTCACCTCGAAACTCTTTGCAGACTCGGCATCTCCCTCAACTTCGAATCCCGTTTTAGAGAGCCAGCAAGGGGAGATTATCACTCAGGGAATTGGTGACTCGTGTGATGAGGATGTCCGTGTGTGAAAGCGCCCTCGCCGATTTTCTGTGCACGAGGTCTTAGACGGTGGCACGGCAACGCGCGAGACTTGGCTTCGGCTGTCCGGGCCGCCTGGTCACCTCGGAGCTTAGGTGGACAGCCATGCAGAAGGAGCAATCGCAGCTTGCCCGTGGCTGCCGTGAGCAAGGCTACAGCTCAAAGGCAGGGTGGACTTCGGCGGCTGGGTGGTCGCCTGCAGAGCTAAGTTGTGCGCGCCCTGCACCATGCTTCACCTGGCAAGAGCAGTTCCGAGTCTACGTAGACTTTGTGCTAGTTACTGCTAGTTTGCCTCAAACAAACGACAGACATGAACCCTGTCCCATGGTCCTGTCAGGAAGTCACTGTCGCGGCAGTGGAAGTACGCAAGGAGGCAAGGATATGCCACCGACAGGGAAATTGGACTGCTGCCATTGGCTGCCCTTGCAAAGGAGAAGCCAGGTTTCGAGGAATTGCTGCGCAAGCAAGCTGCACGAAGGAGGGCCGTGGCGTCCAATTCAAACCATGACGGCGACGGTGTCTTTCCTTTCGTGCCAGGACGCAGGAGAAGGTTGGAAGCCGCGAGGGGCAGAACGCGAAGAACGCTGTAGTGCCAGGTGCCAAAGCTGCGCCGCCACTGAGCAGGAGAGGTGTCCTCTATCGGTGCACAACGCTCTCTCACAGTGGTAATTCGATCTCCTCGGCAATCTTCTTTCTGAGGAGCCATCAGAAGCCGGTAAAGGAGGAGCTTTCGAGCACAGGCACTCAAGGTGGGGCCGCAGAAGCCGTCGTAGCTGAGTGACGCAGAGTGTGAACGGGCAAGGACCGCAAGGAGAAGGAGAAGGCACTGCTGCGAGCTGCTCCGTGACATCTGAGAAAGATTCGGCCCGGGGCCCAGCTCGTCATGGCCCTACAGCTCCTACAGTTCCTGAAGTGAACGAGGCAGGGCTCGAGATCATTAAAGTGGTGGTCCACCTTCCGGGGCTAAGCTCAGCAGCAGAAGCTTCTCTGGAGGTGCGATGAGTTAGAAAGAAGGGTCGCAGGGGGACTTGATTTCCGATGAGAGTCGCCTTCAGGTCTCCTCGACTGAACTCAAGGTCGCCAGCTTGAGGCACAACGGGAAGTGGTGTTGTAGTCGTCGTACTATGTCCTAGTCATTGTAGTGCTTGAGGAGCCCAGTGCCCAAAAGAGCCACCCTTCTGTGCTCAGACCTTTCAGGCCTGACGTGCCTCACCGCATCTGTGCGGTGCTCCCCACAGAAGTGGAGACCTCGAGCAGCACGGCCAAATGGTCGCGACGGTCCCAGCAGCTCACGGTCCAGCTCAGGGCACTGCGGGGCACTGCGGGCCCGTGAGAGCTCAGAAGCCAAGCGGCTTAAGTAGATCAGCCTCAGCTCAGCATTGAGCATTGTACATAATTCCATGGTTGTTTCACCTGACTCGCAGATGCTGCGAGAAACTTCTGCAGGGTGACCCATACGACCCATGCGAACGAAGCTCTCTTGGGCGTCTCGTAAGTGCGCAGGTGAGATGTACCTGTCGCTTCTCAAACAATCCACCGCCTAGCCGCCCCTACCCTGAGGCGGGGTCTCGACATCTTGCCAGCCAGCTTCAGCACTAAGCGTTCCCTGTTCCCAGGTGAGTGCGGATCGTGTCCATCCAGTCGGCGGTTTTCGAATGGAGGACCTTTGCAGTCGTTTTGCTGCTTCGGAATTGTGTGCAGGCTGCTGCATGCTGCGTGGCGCTGTCAGGAAGTCGTCGCACACGACGAGACTCGTTATGTCGGCAGGGTAGTAGATGCGTTGTTCCGCGTAGAGGCAGGGTGCTCTGAGCATTCGTGCGAAGCATCGTTGTGTGCTTCGAGTGAGCTTTCTCGCCGTAGGTTGAAATCATGAAGCGATGTGAGGGTCGCAAAGGCTCAGTGCGGCAGTTGGCATTAATTACGCTGCAGTACCTGTGCAGCACGGCTGACGAAGGCAAGTCGAAGCTGCTGGGGAAGTGTGCCTTCCAGGCGATGGAAGTTGGAATGGCATGGCATGAGTTGCTGTGGGTCGAGAGAGCGCCGGGCAAGGTCAGTAGCGAGGGCCTGTCTGGCCTCACACCGCTCGACGACACGGCAGACGAAGCTTGCGCGCAGGAGCATCATGTTCCTGTGTTTATCGTATGGCTGGTTGGGCAGGGGCTAAACACAGTTATAAGTGTGGAGCCTCGGCATAGCCATTGAGGCCCTGAGGGGGTTCCCGGAGGGGGTGAGGGGGGTCTTGCGACTTATGTTTGTATTGGAGTTGGTCCAGTGCCGGAGGAACCGGGCTATTCAAACACCGCATTGAGCGGTATAAGTCAGACCGAATCTGATTTATGCTCCAACGACAGGTCTGGCCAAATCTGAAACTCATGATCGATGGAGGTTCGTGCGGTGTGATGAAGAAAGGCCCGACGCATTCGTGGCGAGTGCATGGTTTCTGATTAACCACCGTAAGTCCGTGCACCCGGGGGGCATACACACGAAACATGTGGGGACACTTTAGGATGTCATGGCATGAAGCGCGAAGTTGGACTATGTTAGTTGTCTGGCAGCCGCCACTCCCCTCCTAGTTGGGGTGGCCAGGAAGGTCCTCAAAACATGATTTGGGACACCCCCAGTTGTGAAAAGGGAGTCTGAAAAGGTTTCAATTTGCAATGGGGAGTAGAGAAAGATGAGAGGGAGTTGTAGAGCTAGAGATAGAGAGAGAGAGAGAGAGAGAGAGTAGCCATTTTCGCTCAAGACCGAGGCATTTGTTCGCCCTCAAGCTCATCGCGATATTCCAGGTCAGGAAGCACACGTGCCATGCCGCTTCTATTCGAGGAGCAGATCAACCTGCCGAATGGCCCACCGACTCCAGAGCAGCTTCGTCCTGGAGGGCTACAAGGCTGGGAGCAAGAAGGATGCGATGATTTGGAGAATCTTTTATCTCTCGGCCGTCATTCTCGCCTTTCTGTCCGTGTTGCGGATTGTGATCAGGCGCTGCTGTAGAAGGCCAGGCACGCCATGATCACCTCCACCGTTGGAGGCTCTGCTTGAAGAAGGGCTCTTGCCGCGGCCTCCGCCGCCTGCACGGAACATGTCGGTGAGGCGGCAAGCCAGGCCCGGGAGATCAACAACTCCGCCGTGGGAGGCTCTCCCAGAAATGGAAGAAGGGCCCGAGCTGCAGCTTATGCCAGCAGCGCAACCGGCCATGACTGATTCAGCAGCTGCTGCGCAAGATGTCCCCGAGGCGGAGGAGCAGGAGGAGGGAGCAGGAAGTGGATGCCGTCCGCCAAGCCACAGTCGATGCTGCTGCAGGTGAGTTGGATCTGGAGGCACAACATTTTGACCCCGGAGGAGCAGGCCATCCGGCGGCTTTGGACTGTCCAGATGAAAGCTGCAGCTTCGACCGGTGGACTCCCACTGCCCGAAAACGTGACCGGCGACCATGACATCGGGGGAGTACCTCGCCTGACGTTAGTGAGCTTGCGGCTGTAACTTTATTAGTCTCACGTCACGGGGAAACCCCCGAGGAAAGATCTTTTACCCACGACGAGAAAGCCCTTCCTGCTTTCTTTGGTGTACTGGCATGCATGTTTCGCCCAACTCGCTCAGCTGAGTGTGATTTCTCCATCCGCGTTCAACACCGATAAGGGGACCAACCCCTGCTACTCAATTTTTTCCAATCTTCTTGACGGGCCGCCGGAGCCATCCAAACCTACATTGCTGTGCCCCCGCACTGGGGCGATATAGTGCAGTGACTTTCTTTCCTCAATTCGTGAAGCCAGTGCACGTAAACTGTTCTACTGTAGCTGCCCTTGGGGATCACCCAACAGCCAACAGCATTGCCTTTTTGTTCAGGTTGTCTTGACTTCGGTAGGTTCTGGGGGTGGGGTTTCTCGCTTGTTTTGTTCGGAGTTGATCCCTGGTCGGAAGACACAGGTCCAACAGACATTTTGGTCTTACGCGCATTCTGTTGCTCTTGTGCGCATTTGCTCTGCTGCGGTCATGACTGTTGACAAATTGACTATCCCGAGTCTGCGCAGACACACCATTTTGGGAATATCCCAAGTGCAGCTTCACCCTCACTTCGCTGTTTGTCATTTCATTAATATCGTGAGACGAAAGCTGCCTCGGTGTCGCATGCACTTATCCTCGCCCCGTAACATACGGGGGCGCTGATGCGCGCGGCGGGCAGGGGTACCACTCCTGCCGACAGCCGTGGCGAAAGAAAGAGGGAGAACGATTGAAAGGGATTTCCCTCCTCACCCTAGCCCTGGCGAAAGAAAGAGAGTTAGAGAGAGGTTGTCCGCCCCTTTCCTCTTGTCTGGTAGAGAGAGAGCGAGAGAGAGAGA